ATAGCCTCAGAGAACAGTATTCAACCTACCTATGCTTTAGGATAGCCCCTCTATTTCACAGGTTCCTGGCACTTTGAAAAGTTGGTAATTACAGTGAAAGAGTTTATTTTAAATGTAAATATTTGAACAGATTGCTGAAAACCAGCTGAGAAAGTTTACCCTTGGAAGCTTTCCTTTCTCTATAAAACTAGCTGTCATTATTCTTGATCTAGATAAGGATTCTCTTCCTCTCCTATATTAAGATTAAGGGATGGGCTGATTTATATCTTTTATCTCTGGAAATCTAGTACTTGTTTGCCTTTCAATAGCTTTGGGTTGAATTTGATGCTAATGACAGTAAAATGCTCATAGTACTAGTCCACATAAGCTTTTCTAATTTGAAATCTCTCCAGAAGAAGGAATGTCAGCTGTATTTGGTTGTTGGGGATGGGGATGGATAATTATTAGAGAACACCACATTCACTTTCACTCGTGATCTAGAATTTGAAGTATTATCTCTACAGAGAAAATGTTGGCGCAGTTACATCCTGTGCCAGTCTCAGTCCCTAGTTGGGTGATTTCATAGCATGTGCCATGCATGACAGACATTTATCACATCATAACTTCACTAGATAATTTGGGAAAATTGTCAATCTTTGCTGAAGATCAGTCCCAGGAATGGACTTGTATGGTGTGGCCTGGCAGGAATAAATTGTGTTGGTGGAGCAGTATAGGGGAAGCTTACACAGGGTATAACTGCCCTGTACCTGCTTTCAGACAGGGTTTAGTACTTTACTTTCAAGAGCTCTGAATTCCATTCTGCTCAACTGTAGCTCATCACAAAATGCACCACTTATTTGAGATCCATATCTTTCTTTGTCACAAAGAAAATGAAATTATGATTTGATATTGAGAAATACTGAATTACAAAACTGAAAGTATATAAAACATTATATAGTAACCCGTATATGATGTCATATGCCATATAGAAAGACGTCATATGCCATTTTAAGCATGTTCCTGTACATTTTAATTGAATTCATTATTGTGCCTTTGTGTCAAATATTTTAAGAGATACTCACAACCTGTTTAAACCCCATAAATTATCTTTCTGAGAAAGAAGATGGATACCATACACCATCCGTTAGAAATTCCATACCATAAGCCTAAGATCAAAACTTCATCATTTGGCTCCTCAGTGGAGTTGTGTTGATTGTTGAACTGAAGACCTAAATTATTTGTATTTTAAAGAAAACTATAGTAAAACTCTTATTTATACTATATGATAATATATATGGAGTACATGATAGTGTGATATAGCATGAACTGGGGATTCTAATGTTATTCCTTGATGATAAAATTTTGAGTGAATATATTCGGTATGATAGAAAAAAGCATTCTTGGAATGTTTTAGAGAGGTTTTAATATTTTTATATTGGGACTACTTTTTATCCCCCACCTGTAAAGCCAGCTGCCTTTGCTATGATTATTCAACCCATAGAGGGCTCATAAAGACGTCTAAAATTACATACTTTTTTCCAGACATTAAGGTGCCATAATTTTAAAGCGAGATATCTGGGGCCTCTCCAGGGCACAAAAGGATGTTGTGCCTCCCAAAGAGAAGCTGAGGATCTTCTCTTCCCAGAGATATACTGGTGGGAAGGTCCTATTTCTAGCCCTGAAGTTTCCTTTTAGCAATCCCTAAATAGGTATAGTGGGAGAAATAGTGGCCTAAATTTTTTCTTAAAGAATAAAGGATGATTATGGAAATATTGCCTAAAGAAAATACTGTAATATATATACAGCACATGGTTTTAGAACTGCCTAACTGTTTCTAAGCAGTTCTGCTAAAAAAAAAGAACGTGTATGTTTATTCTTACCACAATCATGCTCCCAGAAACATCAAGTACTAGACAGACTACTCTGTCTTTGGTCTGCAGCAATGAGAAGGAGGTCTCAAATGGAGGACTTGAGCTATTTATTGGAGAGGTGTTACTGAAGTCCGTAGAGTTCATAATCACTTCCCAGGTGCTTTTGTAGTTGCACATTTTGTTCTGCATATTTGTAGCATTTTCATTATGAGTACTTTGATCACAGAACTCAACCACCTAAAAAAAGCCAATTGGAAGAGAAGAATGATTACTGAAAAGCAAGTGAACACGTGTAGTAGCAAATCCCAGTCTACTATTTTTCCATTGCTCACCACAACCACAAATACAGAGATTCTTTGCCTGCTCTAAAGGCTATAGAGGATAAAATCCTTCTATGTCCTGGACCTTGGAAGACGTCATCAAAGAAAAGTGTTCCCAGAGAATCTGTCTCAGGGGTTACACAGGTATGTCCAAACTGCAATCAGAGGTATGACTGGAGCTCAGGCGGGCGTACACGTTCTAGCTTTAATCCAGCTAATTTGTCTATTGATAGAAGTAAGGATGTGGCAGCATGGGCTGTACAAACCCACCCAGAACCCTGGATATATACTCCACATTGCTAGCCTGCACCAGTGTCCATGCCACCATGTCTTTGCTGCTATTTTTAGCCTCGCTAGCTACATTAAAGCTAGCATCAATATGCGTACCTGAGCTTCTGTCATACCTCTGAGTGCAGTGTAGATATTTAATCAGTGTTGTGAGGATGCCCTGGCAATGCAGACATCATCAGTAAAGTTCACAGTTATGTAGTTACTATGGAGTCTCAGTGCGTGGATACATAAGGCTCTAACTCACCTGGGACACAACATACTCTGCCAGAGAAAATCACGCAGAAGGGGGAAAAGTTTTCAAAACAAAAACCCTCTGATCTTCCTGGCTGACAGGAATACTTTAAAAGAGGATGAACAGCTTGCTGTGTCTGTCCCCACCCCTTGCTATTCCCCGCAGGGCAGAATTTAGCCCATAGAAAATTTTCAAAGCTTCAGAAGTAAGGTGCGGAGTGTCTCTAGCAAGTTGCTGAGCACACTCAATATCCAGACATGTTAGTGGGAGCTTAGCACATCACAGGATTAGACTGTCACAAAGGAATAAACCTTCTCAGTGTTGTAACAGAAAATGCCCCAGCTGGGTAACTTTGTTATTTGACCCAAACAGGACCAAAAGTTTCCACAATGTCCGGGTATTTCCATACACCTGTGATGGGAGATAGGCCCGACACTGGCAATGAAAGGGTTAATGAGAACCTATGGACCCAGTTGGCCCCACCCCACTACACCAACAGCAAATGTCAGGCATGGAGAGAGGAGCTAAAATAAATTTAGCTAAACTCAGGGCTGCCCAGGAAGAAGAGCAGAACTGGAGACAGGGCAGGAGGTGCAGGGCTGGCTACAGGCAGGGCAGGGGGTGCAGGGCTGATGTGGGGAGGGCAGGGGGATGGCAGGGCTGGTGTGGGCAGGGGTGTGTGTGGGGCTGGCTTCGGGC